TTTTCATGTGTAAATACCGACCCCAGGGTCCATCATCAGTGGAGGAGCATGATGAAACAACAAAACTATTAATGACCATAACATCACAATCGCTACCATTCTTCCACATATCTCTCCATAATACATGTTTGATCTCCCAAAGATCACATATGAAAATACTGCTCATAATCGGTTGTATTCACCACACCAATTTCCTAATAAAATTTCAGAGAAACAATCTCCTTATCGATCGCCACAACCGATCGACAATATTGGTGTCTTGCTCTTTTTTATGCATATTTACTTTATTTCGAACATGTATTGTAACCCTGATTAAACTGCTTTAAACATATTTATAGTAACCGTTGGCGATCCACCGTCAACAGAATAGCCCTAAAAGGAGGGAAGCTATCAATGGTTACATCTGGTTCTCATCCCTAAATTAATCAATTTCCCGATAAGATTTTTTTCACACGCTTCTCCTCTTATCTTTATAAACCCTTATATGATGAAGGAAGACATAGTTGTGTAGGGTTCAATTAGGAACGTCATCGATATGTACATCTAAATCAAATGAAATAAATCTTAACGCAACGAAATCTATGGTTAGGATTGGGACTTATGGTTTAAAATGTTTGTCGACTCTGAAACGTTTCTAATTTCCGTTGTTGGAGATTTTATGAAACCCAGAGTCCGTTGGAAAACTTGATTATCTTTGGGATTGTCGAATCAGTCCTCGAGATCATCGGGTTACTTTTGGCCTGGGTACAAGTGAGTCGTGTGTTGGTGTTATATACTGAAAGTTTGGCTTTGGATGATATTACATTTTTACCCTTATGAATGAGAATCATGTTCAATTAAACAAGTTCTATCGGGTGAACAGAAGATCATTCTATCAGTGACTTGCAGAACAAGAATTATTCGCTTGCAACCGAGATGGAAATGACTGATACCATCTGTAACACCCAGCTATGTCATAAATATCAGAGTTAAATTTTCGAAAAACCTTTTAAAAAAAATTACTGATTGTTTGCGAAATCATGTTTCGGAGTGCTACCATGACAATAACGTTACCTTGAAAACCGTTAATTTAGTTTTAAAGAAAAACGGTTTATCATAACATAGTAACTGACTGAAAATCAGATCAACTAAGTTTGGCAAACAGTCGTAATCAGCGGAAAACATATCGTGGCCCAAACATTTTTAAACACATAACCAAAATCCTGAACCGACTGCCAGCTCACTCCTCTACTCCGACCCTGACACCCCATCAGAATGGTTGTAGTGTCAACGATACGGTTGGTCTTGACTGATTAGTTGCATTAGTACATTTATGTATTGAACGGATCCCAGAGATGAGAAATTTGTTTTATACTGATCGTCATAAACAAACTAGGCCTCGGTTAATTATTGCGTTCTCTTAACCCGTAAGATATTAAACAAGCATATACATGCAATACTAATTACTTCAGTTCACTTGGGAGAGATTCAGTTCGTAGGATCAATAGTCTTACTGTCTTGGGTAATATTGTTGTATGTATGATGTGTTGTTAGGATATTTAAGGTCACCATGTGCGTTACTTTGATGATATCCCCGAAATGGATTCATGAAGGATTGTTATGCTAAATCATGCATGTGGATTAAGTTCGGGCATAATGATAATGCAATGAACGAGTGCTATCTTGGTAATATAATATATTAATTAATTCTTGATTATCAGTAATCGAATTAATTAATGAACATTATATCTTAAACATGAAGAGGTAATTCGGGTAATTATTATTATTATTGGAGTCTCAAATGTAATTTGGGATAAGAAAATGGAGTGTATTAATATTACGTTAGTGGACCGTATTATCCAAGTAATTGGAGTAGTGGGTTTGGCCCACAATTAGTCCATTACTCAAGAAGCTCTAATCTTATTCTCCTAAACATCCCTATTGTAGCTCTATATATACATCATGAAACTCATGCGATATCTCATTGTAATACAACTTGGCACCCTTATATGGGGTAGATATCTTGATGCCCAATAAAGTCCTGGTTAGGAAATAGATTCCATCAGATAACATGTTCTAGCTACGTCTCTCGCTTGGCAAATGATATTTATCCTCTTATTAAGATTCTTTCCCCTTTTCTTGTGCATCACTTAGGTCATCAGACTGTAACCACGACCCCCTGACCTTCTTGTTGCAACTTAGTCGAGGTCAAACCCGACCACCCCTAAGGTCGAACATGACCTTCGGTCTTATGACCTCGATACCTTGAGGCCAACTTTGTTGTTTGGGCTTCTGTAGGTCGATTCCACCAGGTCGTCTTCTACAAGTCGGCTAGTATCTTGAGCTCGAATACGAGCTCCTTGATTGGGTTACTTGCTTCTAAACAGGCTGGAGCTCTCTTGAATCGACCTACCCGAGCTGACTGCTCAAGTCGGTCTGTCGA